GAACTATTGAGTAATTTACACATTATTTTTTCCATTAGAAAGCTAAACTTAATGACTTCGAGTCATAAACTTGTCTAAAGCGGTATCTCTTATCAAAGCATCATAAAATATTTTGTTTATAATAAGCTAGAAATTATTTTAAATTAAGTGACTGATGTCTTTTAAAGTTCTATTTCAATTTAACACAGAATAGTTACGGGTTAAAGTAAGATGTATATACCTTAACATAAGAAATACCCTTGTTTGGAAAATGCAGCTGGGAAATCGCGAACTGCCCTTCGGCGGCAGAGAAAACTAAGGCGATGACCAAGTACAGTAGGCGCCTTATACATATATGTATGCATTTGAGGTGGCTCTGCCCTCTCACTCCCCCATTGGCCGTCTCTCTTTCTCTTGCAACCAGTTTGCAGTTGTGCATATCAATGCAAGTGTGAGGGGGAGGCAGAGCGCCCGGGGGGTGGAGCAAAAGGGGGCGGCAGGGGCTGAAAACAAGTTTTGTTGCATTTTTCAATTGCCCAAGTTGGCTCCGATCGAAAGATGAGAGATAGTTCTCTTTGGATCTCGGGCTTTCAGGAAATTGCAAATGAGACTTAATTAGGCAAACCATGTTGGTTAATGGCTTGGCCAAATTCCTTGAATAGAATCAGAAGCCAAGAACCAAAACAAAACGGAGAATCGAGAATCGAGAACAACAACAAGTCATTGACCCATAACTCAGACCAGTTATAGGGCTGCTTGCAAGAAGGCAAATAAAACAAAAGGCATTTTTGAGCCTGAAAGCGAAACGAGGTTAATTCACAGTGCTGGTCGCAAAGTTGTGCCTACCTTTGCGAGAAAATATCCTCTCCGCTGGCAACACGCAATACGCAGGTGTGGCAGGTAGTCGTCCTCTCTTAGCTTCACTCTGCATCTCTTCAAGTCAAGTTCTCTTAGTTTCTGAAACAAGTTTTCTTGGCCAACACGATTTGTTTACCTTTTTTTGTGTTTCGTGGCTTGTTGCGTGTGTTTTGTTTGGTTTCTGCTTTTTGGGCTTTCTTCTAAGCGCAGATGAAGAAAACTTGTTTTTTTTTTTGGTTCAGAGGGGTGTTGTGGGGTGTTCGAGTGTGGGCCAAAACGTGAAGCACTCGTTAGCAATAACACGTAAACAGTTAAGCGCTGGAATTCCAATCTTGGAGAGCCGAAAACCCGAAAACGAGTGAGGAGATTTTTTAAGGAAGAATATGGAGTTTTTAGGCAGTTTGTATTGTACACCCAAAAAAATTCTAATTCTTTAGTTTTAGTAAATGTGTCTTTAAAATCAACTACAGGCGGTATTTAAATATAAGTATAATTCAATACTAAATAATGTAACCTTTATACTTCTAATTTTAATTTCTATATATATACCCAAGAGTCTAAAACAGAAGTCTAAGGCCTTATTTTTAAGCCACATAGTTATTAGTTTGATACTTTCATGGTATTAATTTAATACTCATCTTAATGAGAAATTTTTGGGTGTATAACAAACTTTAAAAACGTTTAAATATGAATACTTTTAGCCACCAACAGTTAATCATTTTCTACTTCTAAGAATCTTTAAATATTTATAGATAATTATACAAATTTTCAAAAATTGTAAATTGAAAGTAATGGAGGTATTTTTTTTATATTGATAAAATCACTTTTAAGTAATTTGAGTATTATAAAAATTGTTCAGCTTTTCCCAGAACTTTTAATTAATTATTAGCTAAACGCAATTGCATACCACTGTATTTCTATTAGTGGTAGAGTTCTTTTGCCTATTTGTTATTTATCTTCGCAACCAGAACCTAGACACTAAAATGTTTATTACTCCAAACCCTTACTTTTAGGTAGGGAGTGCCTTCTTTTCTCTCTTTAATTCCCTCTGTAGCTTATACCTTTCTCCCTCCCAATAACTTTTCCCCCTCCTTTTCGCAGTGAAAGTTATGCGTGACCCTTTTTTAGGGTTTGAGTTGAGTTTCCAGTTTCATTTCGAGTTATATATATATTTTTTTTGGTTTTCCACTTGCATTTTAGTTGTGTTTTTTGGGGTTACACATCTCGGGGTTAACTAGCTCAATCCCCTCCCCATTTCCCGCCTTCTCTCTTTTGTTGTGCGTGCCTTTGGCTAATTTGAGCTCTTTGTTTTGTTCTTTGTGTGATGCAATTAGCTTCAATCAATGAGGGGACAGAACCACGGAGCGATTCCATTGTTGGTTATGAAGTGCTTGGAGATCCAGTACACATAGAAAAACTAAAACGAGAACGGAAGCTTACTTAGGCCAACCGAAGTTTTAATACCCCCCTGCATTTATACAAAAAATTAATGAGTACGTTTGACTAGACTATTTCCAATAGGCTAGATTTTGTAACGTGTTCAGCGTGCAGCTATAGTAATATAAAAACATCACATTAGGAAAAACAACAAGAAATGCCCATAATTCTTTAAACTTCTTCTATGGATGCTATAGGTCAAAGTAATCTTGATTAGAGTGCAAATAAAACAAGGGGTTTGTAAGTTTTACGTTAATAACTCTGGCACTGTTCAAACGAAATGCATAACACCGTACGGATAGTAAGGTGATTAAGTGACAGTTATATTTTAGATTTTATAAAAACTAAAGATACTAAAATTAATTAAATTTTTTTAACAGTAAAAAAACAGTGAGAATAAAACATTTCATTCTTCATTCTTTGATCCTTATGCTATACGTATCCTTTACAATTTAATAAAGTATTTTTGATGCATGCTAGATATATCTCAGATAGTAACTGTTTCCAAATGTAATCATTTTGATAGGTATTTTTTTCAGTTTAGAACATTTTATAAAAATATCTAACACTTACAAACAGAATTAAAAAGGTGACAATTGAGCGTCAGAAGACACCCTCTGTCGGTCTGCAGTCATTGGTTAATTTTAATGGAATTATAGATGAAGTGACATCGATTATAGCTGAAATGAAATATGCATAAGACATTTTGTTGCAAACTCACGTAGGCTGCTCGCATTCCCAGCTTGAATTTAGTATGCATCTCGGTACCTTGCGGGTAATATTTCTAAATAGGTATAGCCCCACCCAAAAGTCCCACACACCCAATAGATGAGATCATCGCAGAATGTGCCCTTAATCAATTTGGTCTGCATCTGGATGTGTTTCGTGTGGGAGACCTTCGGCCATCAATTGACACAAATCCACAACAGAACGTAGATTGTTTAGCTATGTTTGTTTGCACGCTCCACCGAACATCCAATAACAAATATCCGATAACCCAGACACGGAGACCAATTATGGTCATTAAACCCAACTTTGCTGAGCACTAAAAAGCCAAAATTAAAGATTCAGTTTCCTCTGTAGGTCGAGAACGCATACGCATACAACAGACTCAGAAAAATGAGTTACTTGCGATCGATAGGTACATATACAACGAATCTTAGTGTCATTCTATCTACGTCCCGAGCAAATGTCAAAGTGCCCAAATTTCCAATTGATTTGTTAGTGTTATTTAATTAATTAATTGTTCAATTGCTTGCTGCAGAAATCTCACGCGTCGAAATGTCGCCCGCTGATGATAACTCATTTGCCACCACCCATGGCAACAAAAAGGCCACCTACACGCTGATATGCATCAAAATTGTGGAGCTGGTGAGTTATTTGGTCATAAACTAAATCCAAAAAATAGTTCGCAGTTTTGCACACACTTAAAATTATAACAATATTAACTTAAGTGGAATAAGTGCTGGCTTTTATACAATATCTATAAATAAGTCACAGAGTCAAAATTCGAAATCTCATTGAAAACATTATTTCCGTATGATTCTTGCACGAAAAAGTTTTTTTCACAGAGGGCCTTTCGGTAATAATTTTAGTTTAATAACTTATTAGTTTTTGTTTTATTACAAAAGCTTGCCTAATTGCTCAGCGGTATTTGTTAATTTAAAGAGTGGAAATCAGGAATTATGAATGATAACCGTGTTAGAAAATATTATAATTTATTTATATCATACACATTGTAAGATAATATATTGTATTTTCTGAAAATCAATCGGCAATAACAAATTTGAAGTATCCGAATTTAATACAAAATAAATAATGGTTTTTATGCCCAACCGGAATACATTTTTTTGTTTTTTTTTTTTAATTTACAATTTAATTTTAAAACTATTTTCTTAGTGCCTGCTTATATGCTGCCTGGGCCTGATCGACGAGCCGGCCACCAACTCCCACCTGCGGGTGTTCATTACGCCCCGTGTGATGGCCCTTTGCTATGTGACCTTTGGTGCGTTGACTATTTACACGGCGATCTACCTGATAATGGCTCTCTTTGGCGATCTGTGAGTACGGAACCGGGGTTAAAAAAAATAATGGTTAAGTATGGTTACTTTACCAACAGGACACCCTGGCGCACGGCTACATTGTGGTCACTGGTGGGCTTCGTCATGTTTGTGGCCGTGACCGCTCTGCTCTTCCGGGATTGGTCCACAACCAAGGACCGCAACTACTGGCACCCGAATATGCATCGTCTGGACCTCGTGATGGCTTCCGCCTCGATTTCCTTGGTCACCTCGTTGGTCTTCCTGCTGGACATTCTCCTCACCATCCGCTTCGGCGTTCACGGCGATCTTGAATGACCTGGACCTGGATGACGAGAAGTTTGGCGAGAAAGAGGCATCCACTCGAGTCTCTCCTAACCGTGGAACCCTAATATTTATGGCTCCAACTTAGTCGTAAGAACCCCGTCACATCCCCGTCTCCCAGCTAATTATAATCCCACGAAAAAAACACACATATGAATTGCCATCATCGAATCGAAAATGTACAAAAACGACGTTCGCGAAGGTTTAAAGTTCTTTACGCATCGGCTGCCCTGTTTTGTTTTTTTTATAAGCCTAATACATCGAGCATCACGAACGTTTTATCTAATCCAATTATTAAGTAAGATCCAACAAATAAATTTTGTACAAGCGAATATTTTCACAAACAAAAAGTTAACTTTCTAATTACTATTGAAAATTTCGAAATGAAAAATATATATTTTTTAATGTATACTCCATAATTTAGGTACTTATTATATACAAAACGAAACATTAACAAAAAAAAAAAGATTCTTTATCTGTTAACAAGGCGAAACAATTCGTTGTGATGAAATCATGCGGCTGGTGTATGGAGTTCCTAGAAGTCATTTGGACTTGATGAAGTATTTCTCAATGTCCTGATCGTTGTTGATCATCTGCAGACCATGGAACGTCTCCTTGATGTAACACTTTCCAGCATCTCCGTCACCTGGAAACAAACAATTTCATGATTAACTTTTAAGATAATTGTCAGTGGCGACATCATACCCAAGCTTCCATCACAAATGCGCTGAGTAAGCAATTTGGCCAGAGCTTTGAACAGTTCCTTGGTGGCTATTTTTCGTTTGTAGTAGGGATTGAGCCACTGCACCACATTTTTGCTCACATCGTTCTTTTGCTGGTTCTTTTCTGGTTTTGTGTCCTTTTGCGAACTTCTTTTCGAGTCGGATTCTTTTTGATCCTTTTTCTGGGAAGAAGAGTCCTTTCTTTCTGCTTTCAAGTCTTTAAGATGCTTTTCCGATTCTTTTGGCTCACCCCTACTAGGTTTCAAATCTCTCACTCTATCTTTGTCGGATTTCGCCTCTTTCGGCACTTCTTTTTGAGATTTTCTGTCACTGCCTTCCTTTTTCTCAGATTTCTTTACGTCATCGTCTAGTGTTACCTTTGGTTCCTTACTGTCTAACTTATTTTCCTTAAACTCTTTTTTGTCCAAACTCTTTTCTTTAAGTTTGTTTTTTTCCAACATTTCTCTGGCTGAAATGAAACCTAGTGTTTCAGGTTTGTAATTTGACTTTTCCCTTTTCTCCCCTTCCTTAAGCTTATTTTTCTCTAACATTTCTCTGGCCGATATAAAGCCAACAGTTTCGGGCCTATTTTCTGATTTATTCCTATTTTCATCTTTTTTAAGAACAATTTCTTCGGTTGGGCTGCCTAATTTTTCTTTTCTTTCATCGAGCATTTGACGGGCAGTTTTAAAACCAATAGAATGTGGATCAGTCTCCTCGTCAGAGTCGCTTTTAAAGGAACCAAATAGGTGCTGCATGCTGGACGTTGTCTTTTTTGATTCTATCTCTTTGGATTGGTTTTGATGAGAAACTCTTTTCCTTCGATGGGTGTCATAACTTCCATCGCCGTTGGACATCAATTTGAATTTTCTTTCGCCAATTATGCTATCTGGCTGACGATCGAGCTCAACTTCAGGATCAGTACTTTCTTGGTCCATGGGCTCGTCTTTGACATTATTGGTAGAATTTTCTTCAGTATCCTTCACCTCTTTGTCGTTCTGAATTTCTTCGGGCTCTTCTTTAATAACAACATCTTCTTCGTTAGACGAATCGGATGGTTCCTCTTTAATCTCTTTTTTGAAAAAGGAGGATATCGAAGTCTGCTTGCTATTCTCCTGTTTGAATCCCTTTTTTTCCTTCAAGGCTTTTGGCACCTCCTTAAGACTTTGGGGTCTCTGTTCTTCCAGTTCTTTTAGTTTCCTCTCAAAATAGGCTACACTTCCACCAGTCCAAGCGCCTTTGGAGCTAGTTTCCGGCTTGGGAACATAATCCAGCAAAAGCGGCATTAATTGCGTCTTGCCTGTCAGTTGTTTAATGGTGGAAATCTATAAGGAAATCAAATATATTAAATTTTTCGATATTTTGATGTAACCTTTTATTCAAACCTGTTTAACTAAGGCATGTCGGTACATATTGGCCACTTTATGCTGTCGAAAAACCTCGTACTCCATATCCACTGCCATGGCTTCATAGTCTTTGTATTTAAGTACACTTCTTGGCTGCTGATCTGGCTCCTCCTTGCACTTTTCCACATTGGCCTTTAGTGCATCGATGATGGCTGTGAGGTATTTCTCCCTGTGAGTTGACTGAAGCCCAGCGATTTTCTTTTCAGTGGCCTCCGCCTGTCGAATGCGAGTGATTTGGGCGGCAGTTTCCTGTTCCAGCTGCCGAGCTGCGCTGATTTGTTTACGTAGCTTGAACTGCTGCTTTATAAAATCCTCGGATTCCTTTTTCGCTTTTTTGGCCATGGAGGAGTGACTCTGGCCGGAATCGTCACCTGAACCGGATTCACCGTCTGCGTACTCCTGGGCAGCACGCTTTATTCCAGGTCGACCACCTAATAGATTGGGGTTAGGAAACAGAAAATGACTTTCACAGGAATATTGATAAAATGGCATTTCCAAAGCTTACCCTCATACAAATCGGCGCAATCCTGCAGCGAAATGTGTGACTTGAACGTATCATCCATACACAATCTGTGGAACATCTCAAGTGCCTTCTCCGCTTTCTTGGGGCGCTTGCAGACATCACATTGACCATTACAATCCGGAGCAGGATCTCCGAAGAAGTCAGAAAAAAGCTTGTGCCTGCAGCTTGTTCGCTCGCAGAATTCAGTTATCTTTTCAAACTGTTTTAAGGCCCTCTCCGTGAGTAATTCCTTATCGCCACGACCCCTCGCTCGGTGGGCATCGTTTTGCAGCAAGAAACGAATACTCCGGACATCTTCCCGTCCGTAATACAATCTACAATACGACTGCAAGCCATCGCGACCAGCGCGACCAGATTCCTGATAATATGCAGCCACATTTTGCGGCACATCCCAGTGGATAACGAAGCGCACGCTCGGTTTATCCACACCCATGCCGAAGCTATTGGTGGCGCATATGATGGGTTGATCGCCCCGCATCCAGGCTTCTTGGACCTCGGTGCGTTCCCCTGTCTTCAGGCCGGCATGGTAGGCCACTGCTCCGATTCCCTGCTTGGTCACTCCTATGGCCATACGTTCCACCTGCTCGCGAGTTCGACAATATACAATTCCACAACCCCTTTGCGGTTTAGCTTGCTCCTTGAACTCTTTGGGATCGCCCAAACAGTGTCGGGCAAAGTCGGCTAGGTGCTGGAAGTCATCTTCTATCGAGTTCTTGTACACAATGTCGTAGAAGAGGTTCTTCCTAAAGCTGGGAGTGCTGAACTGAGCCACGGGCTGGTGGAGGCGTAGCTGCTTGTATATGTCCTCCTTGACTTCCCGAGAAGCTGTGGCCGTCAATGCCAACCAGGTTATGTCCGGGTATTTGGAGCGCAGCTCGCCCAGTTTCAGGTAATCAGGCCTAAAGTCATGACCCCATTGGCTGACACAATGGGCTTCGTCCACTGCAAAATATGCCAGTTTTTTATGATTATAAAGTGTTTGGAGAAGCTCCTGGAAAAATTTGGTGGCAGCCTGTTCCGGGGTTATGTAGAGAAACCTCAGGTTCGTTTTCACGGCCCGCAAGTCCATTATAACACGATCCCTTTCCTTGGTGCTCATCTTGGAGTTCAACGAATCCGCTGGCACCTTTAGTTTGGTCAAATGATCTATCTGATCCTTGATCAGAGCCAAAAGCGGTGAAAAAACAATGGTTATTTGATTCTCGGACATCAAACCGGGCAACTGGAAGCACAGGGATTTACCCGAGCCCGTCGGCATCGACACATACACATCCTGTTTTTCTGGAACGGAATCACGAGAAGTATTATCTACGAGATTGGGTAAGAAGTTGGCCCATATTCACTTTTGACAGCACACTTCACGGCCTTCTCCTGCAGCTCTGATTTGAATTTCGTGTGGCCGAAATGCTTTTTCAGCGCCTCATGGACGGCGCTTTCCTGGGTCATTCTTAAGCCGACGTCCTACTGCGTTCTATTTAAATAAACATTATTTTCTTTGGGGCAAAAACTCGTTGCCGCCAAAACAGCTGGCTTAGCGATGGGTAATGCGGCCAGCTAGTGATGGCAGCGCTGGCGAAGGTAACCGATAGTCCAAATGCTTATGGATGCCCCATCCCTGCGGTAAAATAAGGCCAACACTACGTTGTTTAAATTTCGATGATATCTGTAGAACTTTGTCTATAATGATCTCTTTCCACACAGTCCATCCCTTGGAAACGGTTGGAATTATCAACAAATGTGAAACTCCGATTTCCGCAGAGCACATCCACCTTCTACCTTCTGATTTCAGCTGATCTGAACAGCTGTGGCTCGTCAAACCGGAGTTTCACTTTTTTCAAAAATCTCAACGGTTTTTCAGGGATGGACTGCGAGGAAAGAGGGTTGCACCGCAGAAACATCGGCTAAATATCGCATAAATTAGTCCGTCAAAGTCCGTAAAATTTTAACGGCGGACTAACTGGAAAATTTTTAGAACGCCAAAACCTTATGGACCTTCTGTTTGAAGAAGTGTGGAAATTGGATGGATCTCTGCGGAAATACTCTATTAAGCCTAGTATTCAGATCGACGAAATCCATACGCCAGCTATACGAGTTGAAAGGCAAATAACCAAATCGACGAAAAAATACCAGAAAATGGCCAAGCGTTGCCAGATTTCTCTTGGTGAAAGTAAGAAGGCGCAAGGAATAACAAATCTATAATAATCTTTGAAGACAGGATATTTGTCGGATCAAAAAATGGACGAAAAAACCAAAAAAAAAACTCAGCAAAATGTAGAACAATAATACAATGTTGATTACAATATGTTCCCGATCCATATATGTGCCACTTTTGTTGTTTTGATTAAATGTAGTTGCTAGTTGGCACGCTAAATTTGAATTGTTTTCCGATTGCCAACAAGCACAGCTGACTGACAGTAAGACCGTCAGAATCAAAACTTTGGTCAAACTAAAAAGAATAAACTTTTACGCTGGCGTATGGTGCTCTGTGGGACTAGGCCATAACGGGAAGAGCATCGATAGTAGTAGCAAACTATCGATTGGCAGTTGTCGTGGAGATTGAAAAACATCGGTGTTTCCCCGCCAAACATCGATACCTTATGAGATTTGTCCACTGCTCGCAGTCGAAAATTTTTGGCCGACTCGCGAGCACGCTCTGTGCTGCTTTCTCCCGCATTTCGCTTGCTTTTAACTCGCCTTTCGTCGCGGTGCGTGTGTGTTCGTGAGAGTGTGTGTGTGCTGGCAGTGCGTGTGCCGCGCCGCTATTTGTTAATAGTTATTAATCCCGGCTTAATATCATGCCTGCACTTTAATCGCCTCTGAGCAAACGACCAAAATTATAATAATAATAATGCCGGCAAACAGAGCAGTGAATTAGTGTGCGAACTGTTTGTGTGGGTGTCTGCCTTGCCAAAAATATTTACCGCAAAATAAACAAATACAAGCAAAGCGTATTGAATCCCAGTCAAAGCCAATCAACAACAAAAGCCGGCGAAATAACCATTCTCGCTCTCTCTTTTCCAAAAGAGAGTTATTTAAAGTTTTAAAATGCAAGGGAAACAACAACATGAATATCTGCACTGCAGAAGAAAAGCAACAGCATCAATAACCCCCCGCCTTGTGATATTCAGCAGTCCGCTACTTCTTCTACTGCTTACCACCCACTTTCCAGCCACCGTACAAGCCGATAATGGCCCCGTCCCCCAAGTGGCCGCCCTTGCCGCCCCAAATCCGGCGGGAGGCGTGGCAGGAGGGTCCTCGATCATCGATCAATTCAGTCCGAATTGCAGTGCTGTGACGCACATTTTCCAGGCGAGAGGAATCGATGCCATCGAGATTCCCCAGAAACCAAGTAACGGTAAGTAAATAAAAGTTTGTTACTATTTGAAACTTTAAAAAGTGAAATTATTTATGTATAAATAAAATAAATTATAAAAATTATTATGCAGTCAGAAGGAGTTGCTATAAAGTTAGTTTCACTTATTAGTTTACTCATTATCTCTTATTGCCGACTCTTACGCTTTGCCAATAAAATAGCGCACATTTTAATTTGATGTGATAAGAAAACGAGGTCTTTACATTGGTCAAAGTGCAAATATAATTGAAGTTTGGTTTGGTTGTCACTCATATTGCAAAAATAACAATCAAATGAGATTAAACATAATCAAAAAACAGACCATAAAATATAAACAACTTTCTAAGCATATGTAATTTTAGATGAAAGGCCCTAAAGCTAAAAGATAATAATACATTTATAAGTTCACATATTAGCATTATCCATTTCATAACATTGCTAAATCAGAAGAGATAAGAAACAAGTTTGTTTCACAAAGGAACAAAGAAAACTCTCGTTCGAATTTTGCGAATCCGTGATTCATTCTGCTCCTTCAACGCGTCTTGAGTTCTCCTCCCGAACTTTCCTCCCCCTGCGCCCCCTGGAAGGAAATGAAATTCCACGCAAATCAACTCGAAATGCGAGTAAGCAGCAGCACAAGGTAGGCTTTAAATAAGAGAGAGTCCATCGAGGAGAGCGTGTCCATCCCAGAGATCTTGGCGCATGCGTCGCCCGCTCATCGTAACCCTCTGTCTTTTCCCTTCTCAATCCGAAACCCCTCCTTTCCTAAAGGGGGAAAGGGTTCCAGTTTCCAAGACCAGTCCAAAAGGCAGAAGCAGCCGCAACGAAAAATCTCAAGAAATTCCTTTTTGATGAACAAAAAAAAGAAAATAAAACGAGAAGAGAGCCGCCGCACAGTAGATCTTCGTTGGCGTGAACTGGAGTATTTAATTATTTATTTATCGATAGTTTATTCTAGTTATATTTTCTTAAAAATTAACATTTTTATTTGTTAAGGGCATAAAAATAGACCACAAATTTAAAGTAATTTTACATTATCTAAAAAAAATATGATTATTCTTTTACCTTAGTGATTAATCAGATAATTTAAAGAGTCAAAACTTATTTTGTTTTCATAAGTAAACAATTATTTAATAAAAATTTCTTTGAATCATACATATTTAACTTAGTTATTCTCTACATATGTATATAGGGAACTGAGACTGCGGAGCCCCTGTAAAAGGCTTTTTGGTCAGTGGAGGGGCAAAAATGTTGTCACACCGCTTTTACACGTTGTTCGATGGGTGGATGTGGATCGTCGAAGAGGGTAAGGGAGGACCTAGTCGCGACCTCGATCGCCTGTGGGCTTTAGTTAATTTGTATAAATCCTGAATTAATCACGCTTAATTGCAATAAGTTGCGCAGCGTTCTCCATTCCTCTTCGCTCGCCGCCTCTCTCTTTGTTTGATTTGTTGCCAGGTAAACTGTTGCAGCCTCTGCCCTTTGCCCCTCGGCCCTTTACCTGAGCCCTGCCTTTGTTTATTTTTGGTTTTCAACGTTGCCTGATTGGTTTTTTTTTCCCCTCCTATATGTATGTTTTCCTTATTCTTTATCTTTTGGTCAAATGCACTGCGCGTTGCGTTGCGTTTCGTTCATAATTTCATGGAAATGCAGGTGGGGGAGGGGGCGATGAGGGGGCGGGGTGTGGAACAGGTAGAGTGGTCAGTTCTCGAGTTCCCTTTTGTGTTGTCTTTGATATTAATCAAGGTGTCATTGAAATCGTTTAAATTATGCAGTTCAGGATTTTTATTCTCTGTCGGCATTTTTATATGAACCTTTTACTTCCCAAACCACTTGCTCCCCGCCGTTCAACTCCCAGTATCTTTAGCACTAAGAATAACAAATAAAATGTTTGAATTTGTTTAAAAATCTTTTTTACAATTTTTTCAAAACCTTTATAAATTTTGATTTTGTGCGCATATAATATACTTATATTTTTGAGACCTGAGAAATTTTAAAGTTATATTTATATTTATAAAGGTTTAATATATGCATGTACAATATTCTATTGTAAAAAAAGTTTGATGTGAACTCCAAATATTTTCTAATATTTATGAACACTTGATTTAATTAAATTTTTCTGTGTGCACAGCTTCTCTCTCCATCTTTGGCCGTGTGAGTCATAAATTCTTGTGTTGGGCCCTCTCTTCTCATTCGTTTCTTCTCATTCCCAATTTTATTCCCTTTCCTTTCACCTGACCCCGCCCCTTGCACCATGTCCGCCTGATAAGCGCCAGCATTTAGATAAAGTTTCCGACGTGTTCTCAGGCCTTTTTGAATTGCTTAACTGGGAACTACTTTTGTGATAGGTGTTTATAGGGTTTTCTGGCTGGGGTTTCGTGGCTATGTAGGTTAGCAAACTGGTGAGGCTGTGCGGCTGATAAAGTCCAAAATACCAAAAAAAACTTTGACGTAAGAATGTACGAATGGAAAAAATTCGTTGGAACGTAGACATTTTGGGGCCACCTTATTGTCATAGGGAAGTTATGGGAATTATTTTGGTTAGCGTTTTTTTTATGTTAGTGTATTTTTGAAGTAAAATATGTAAATACAGACTATACAAATAATTTACTTTAAACTAGTTCTAAAAATAATAAAATTTTTTTTAAAGTTTAATCAAATCAATATGAAAATATGTATAAATACTAGGATATCAATACTTAAAAGTCACTACCGATTTCCTAACCGGAAATTTCTTGCATATATTCAAAGTGAAATTTCGATCAGTCACGTTTAAGTGTTTTGGCCAATTTCCCAGCTTAGTCATCTTCACACTTTAGGTGCATTCCTTTCATTGAACCATGAAAAGCAACAAACATTCGGGAACAACAACTGCATGGCACCTTCCGTGCTGCACTGACAAACAACAGCAACAGCAACTACAACAACAGCTGCCACTTAAACGCTTCATTAAAGTTGCACTTCCTGTGCCACATCAAAAAGCTGTGCGAACCCACTTTAACCCCCTGACCATCGTCCTCGGCTCACCATCATCATCATTGGAAGGCAGGCACTTAGCTGAAATTGTTTGCACAATTTAAACAGTTCACAAAACATTAAATCGTTAAAAATAATATCAGAGAAGCGGCCAAGAGAGACTCAAAGAGAGAAAAAGATTGGCTTCGTTGATCGCAGGTTTAAATACCCTTTAAAGAAGATGAAATAAGTTGTAGGATATTTGTATTATTAATTAAATTAAATAACAAAATATTTAAGCGTGTACTAAACTGGTTTGTGAATATACGTAATGTTTTGTAAGTTATACACTTCTTAATGACTCGTTTAATTTTAACTAAGAAATATATGTTATAAGAATATATAGGTATTACTTAATAACTAAACAAAATTATAATACATTTTAGTTAAAGTTTTAAAATCTTTTTTTGCTGCAACAATAAGTTTACACATAAGTGATCACCTTGTTTCCTCTCATTCTACCTCTTTCCCATCTCTACCCATCCTTGTCTGCCCTTTGCCAAAAGAAATTTGCAGCGAAACTTATTTTTGCTCAGCTGCTGTGGTTGCCTGTCTCTCCACACCGAAAAAAATATTATGACCATTTTTGAACTAAAATATTTAATATCAATTTTAGATATTTGGATGATTAAAGCAATAATTTAATTTAATCTTCAACTTAAGAATTGGGAAAAATCTCCAATATAATCAATATCTTTATTTCCGTGCACTGTTGCTCCACTTTGTTGGCGTCTCCTTCAGCGGCACTGCATCCGCCGAGTGCCCCTGCCCGCCCCCTTAAACCACCCGCTCCAAGGCAACCGACCGCATGACTATTAATCATTTTCCAGCAACCAAAACTAAATGGCCCCATCTCGCTCTCCCCTTCTGTTTCCCGTCCGTTTCCCTCTGTTGACCCTTTTTTTGCATTGTCGCATTCCTTGGCCGTGTAAAAAGAAGAAACGAAGCGAGCGGTTTATATGGCACTATATCATCATCATCTTCATCGGCGTCGTCGGCGTGTGATCATGTGATATATACTTCTGCAATTGTTGACCATTGTATGGAGGATTGGGCTTGGGTTTCGATTGGAATGCAGATTAGATGGGGGCAGGGGATATAAACGAGTAGGAGTTGCTGTCTAGAGTTTGTTTATGAGGTCATAAATTGGTTGAATAAAGGGTTTGTTTTAAGGGCTATGCGAATATTAAATTATCTGAAATTTATAGGGACTTTTAAGATTTATATAGTTTGGATGGCAAAATTAGAGGGGTTAATAAAAATTAAATTACTATCATAAAAGATTACAAAAAACCAATCAAATAACATTCATTGACAAAAAGTCAAAGATAACCCACTAAAACACCTAATACTTGGGTTAGCCAAAGCTCCCCAGAACATTGAAATCCGCGATCATGATCGATAGCAAAACTCTTTCACGCGATCTCTTCTTTAATGTGCCATAAAAATTACTGAGTTCCTTGGGGCTGCTTATACCCATTGAGATCATCGCTTGGCGATCTTAAAACCAGCTGTGCTATCTGATCCATATATCGGCACTGGCATCCCAGACATTGCGCCTACAAAGTCAACACTTGCCGAGATTTCTCGCTCTAAAGATCGGAGATCTGGGCAATTTCGCGTAATTAGCTGACAATGCTGACACAAATGGGATCTCCCAGGCAGCTGCTGATTCTGCTGCTGTGACAACAAAGGCCGAATCGTCAGCAAATTTTCTAAGAATGAATCCTGCGGATCGCGGATGATTCAAGTTGGATTCGAGCAAGGGATAAAATGAAAACGAAACCGGCCGATCCAACGACTTAATTGCCGGCAAGTGTCGAAGGAGGATACCAAAAATAGGTAGAGAAGAGAATCCCAGACTCTCGGCCAGACTTCCAACATTCCCAGTCATCTCGAGCAGGTCAAACGTGGCCACTTTATGGAGCGAGATAACATTTTGCCTGTGTGGTCTCACCTCAGTTGCCGTCTCTTTCTGCTCGCTCCGT